GGGGGGGGGAGGTTGACGAGCCGCGGGCCGCCGAGGTCCCCGCGCGGAAGCCGCGGCCCATTGTGCGTCCTGCCCCGCGCGCTCTGTTGCAGAGGAGCCCCGGCCGGGAAGTGTGGATGCGCCTCTCCCGAGGCCGGGCCGCCGCGCCCGCTCTAGTCCAGCGGAGCCCGAGCGCCTCGGACCAATCCCCAGTGATTATGCAAGACAGCGGACCAATCAGCTCCGCCAGCTCATGAATATTTATGACCTTGGCTGAGTCAAAGCTTTGAACCGAGTTTGGGGAGCTCGGCAGCATCATGCTTAGACTTTTCAAAGAGACAAACTCCATTTTCTTATGAATGGAAAGTGAAAACCCCTGTTCCGCTTAAATTGGGTACCTTCCTGTCCTGAGAAACATAGAGACCCCCAAAAGGGAAGCAGAGGAGAGAAAGTCCCACACCCAGACCCCGCGAGAAGAGATGACCATGACCACCATGCCAGAAAGTCTCAACAGCCCCGTGTCGGGCAAGGCGGTGTTTATGGAGTTTGGGCCGCCCAACCAGCAAATGTCTCCTTCTCCCATGTCCCACGGGCACTACTCCATGCACTGTTTACACTCGGCGGGCCATTCGCAGCCCGACGGCGCCTACAGCTCAGCCTCGTCCTTCTCCCGACCGCTGGGCTACCCCTACGTCAACTCGGTCAGCAGCCACGCATCCAGCCCCTACATCAGTTCGGTGCAGTCCTACCCGGGCAGCGCCAGCCTCGCCCAGAGCCGCCTGGAGGACCCAGGTACGTGCGCTTGCCAGGGAGAGGGAGAGAAGGAAGGAAGGAGAGGGAGAGGGCGAGAGAGCGAAGGAGAGAGAGAGGAGAGGAGGAGAGAGAGGTGGGTGGGGGTGGGGAGGACGCGGGAGCAGTGGAGGTTTCGAATATCAGTCCAGGCATCCTTGTCAGAGCAGAGAAATTTCTTTAAAAATCCACCCCGTTTGCAACTATCCAGCAAAGGATAAATCCGAGAGCGTCTCCTGGCACTGGCTGGGCCTCTGGGCGGCTCGGTGCGCAGAGCACACAATGCCCCGCTGGAAGACAGAAACCCACATGTGCACGTATTAGTCTCGGTAATTATTTATTGCGTAGTGCTATAAACAATGTATGCAATTAAGGGTAATTAAACCTCAACTACCGCCTGCAAAAATAGCAAACTTTCCCTGCAAAGGCAGGAGCCGCGCTCCTGGGAACGGCCCTATCCCGCCTGCAGCGCCCCTGGGCGAGCCCTCGGACGCTGGGGACTCCCCCCGGCTTTCCGAGCTGCCCGAGCGTTCTCCCCGGCCCGGCCCCCGCCAGCCCTCGGTGGCCACTGGCTCTCGGCTCTCCGTACTGAAAGCGGCCCCTCCATTAACAACGGCCCCCGTTTCTGCTGTCCCTCCAGGGGCGGACTCGGAGAAGAGCACCGTGGTAGAAGGCGGTGAAGTGCGCTTCAATGGCAAGGGGAAGAAGATCCGCAAGCCCAGGACCATTTACTCCAGTTTGCAGTTGCAGGCTTTGAACCGGAGGTTCCAGCAAACTCAGTACCTAGCCCTGCCCGAGAGGGCGGAGCTCGCGGCCTCCTTGGGACTCACGCAGACGCAGGTACTTCGCCGCCGCCGCCCGCTCCTCCAGGCGGGCTTCCCGCGGCCGGCCTGCGCCCGGGGCGGCGTTTCTCGCCGGCTGGGCCTCGGGCTCGGGCGTGGCGTGTGCGTTCGCGTCCGCCCCGGGCCCCGGCGTCTTTCCTCCCTCCCTCGCTCCCTCTGCCCGGCGCTGTCGCTGCTCTCCGTATCCCGAGCCGCCTGCCGCCCGCTCCCCTCGGTCCCCGGACAATCTGATTAGGGCGCAGGAAGGATTTCCCCAGACGCTTTGTTTGGGGACGCTGAGGTCACACGTGCCCGAAGGACTGGAACAATAGACTTGGGGCTTAATCCCTCCTTTGCCTTGGAAGTGTGTGGCTGATCACTCCGGGGCCCGGGCCCGCGCCCGCCTCCGTCTCCCTCCTCCTCCTCCTTACGGTGTGTGTGTGTGTTGGGGGAAAGCCTCTCTTAAGCCTTTCACCGCCCAAGTCCCAGAACCTGGAGGAAAAAGAGACCTTCCTGCCGGATTTTTCTAAGGCTCCGGGGAGTCCATGGGCCTTCTGACCGCGGCCAGCGCGGGTTCCCAACGTCCAGTCCGGGATTTGGCGCAGAGCTGGGGGGGGGGGGGGGGGGGG